AAATGCTACATCTAAACGAACGAACTGACGAACTGTCGGCAGCCATGTTGGTTGTTGAACGCCTTATTGGATCTTTTCGGTTGGTTTACAATGACATACGTTATTAGTTAAAACAAAAAAATTTCAAGGTCGTGTCGAAAGTTATGTATTATCAGGGCCTATATAGTGGACTTTTCGAATATGCGCATGCACGGTCATTTAAAATCTCCAATCAACCAATCAGGCCAATCAACGTTTAACAACAATCAGAATGAGTAGAATTTTTGTGATTCGAAAATACAGTCATAAAAACCGTAGGTTTTAGTTTTCCAATCATTTTTTCTGATGATCTGATCCTTCTTGTATTTATTTATTTATTTACTGGTTGCCCAGCGCTGGTGCCTATTATTTAGTGTTATTGTTTTTTTTTTTTTTGTTGCCATACTACCACCTTCCAATCTCTATTTTTCGTTTACATATTTCCAGCAAATAAACTTATACTTGTCGAAACGATCTTGCGGAAAGTAATTATTGATTAATAAACGTAAGTGATAACCTTTAAAGTTTAGTAAAGCATCGAATTTATTTCAGTTTTCATTTCCGTGAATGTAGATAGAATTCTGTCTGTATTTTAATTTAAAACTTTTGTCTTCGTTAAATTTATTTGCAATATTTTCTGTCAATGAACTCAGATCATTAATTTTCCTCATCGATTGAAGCTGATTCCGCTTCAGTAGTTGCAAATTTTGTACAATTGTTTTTAGGTCAGTATTGTGTTCTTTGCCGGTAATAAATTTGATACCACTTCCTACGAAGTTCATTAAACCTTGGTTTTTGCTATTAAGATTACGTATTTCACAAACATTCGACTTCTGTTGGTCATGCATAATTACTATTTTGTGAATATACTGTAGAACCAATAATTAAAAGATTAATAATAATATTAGTTAAATTAGTTACCGTTAGGGAAGACGAGTATTCTTCATAATATCGATTATTCGGTAGCTTCTTGGTGGGAAGTGCTTGGCAGGAGTTCGTTTGATTTTTCTAGTGTGTACAGTTACGTTCTTTTTCTTGGGGGCGCCGATAATTTTATTCTGATGTACCTCCGTTATTTTTGTGGGTATGTGTTGGGCATTCATTTTATTCCTGAGTGTATTTTTCCGATAGACATCTTGGTCAGGGTGTAAATCGTGGGATGTTTCAGAATGTTTATTGTGTTTTTTGTGTTTTGATTCTATTTTTGGTAGGTGTTTTTGTAGATACTTTAATGGAAGGGAATTAATTCACTTCCTCGTTTCTCGTTATACTGTTCGAAAATTGGCAAGTCATTGTCAATGTTTGGTTCGTTTAAATAGGGACCGTAGAGTATAGAAAAAGGAGAATAAGCGCTTGTGGAATGAATAATCTGGTTATAGTCGTCCCTATCTATACGGTCAAAAGTTTGTCATCGAAACGGACCATAACCCACTAGTGTGGCTGTCAAAGTTAAAAGAACCCAATTATCGCCTTATTCTTTGGAGGCTTAATCTCGAGGAATTCGATTTCGAGATTAAATTCAAAAAATGAGAAGAAAACTTCGCAGCAGATTGACATAAATGCTTTGCACGAAGACGAAACACAATCTAACATCCCCGATGTCGACGGTACAGTCGCTAATCTAGCTGACTTTGATTTAGAAGATTTTGTTCTTAACGAAAAGTCCAGGTCACATACCTAACGACCACGATTCTGACGTCACTGTTCATAGTAATAACGACCCAGACATGAAAGGCATTCGTATTGCAGAACGTAAATTACGCAAGTCTTCGCTTAATAATCGATTATGAAGAACAATTCAAACACACCTATTTAAAACCGTTTTAGAAACATCACCATTTTGTCTAAATAATCATTAAATCAGATGAATTATTTCCTATTTACATTCCCAATCCTAAATTTAAATTGGCATTTCAAAGGACTGACTAATCCGAAGAACTATTAAATTGCCGATTAAAGGCTAGGTTTACGGGAAAAAAAATAAAACATCTAGAGATTACTGACCGAATAGCTCTCTTGGAACCTGGGCGGCCATATTGTATGGTGCCATATGGAGGTAACCTCCTCAAGGATTTAGAGATAAGTTTTCCGGAGCCAAGATATTTGATTCCATTAATGTGATGTTTCTGACAGTGCTTAAATAAAACCGTCATGGAGTTACTAATTTCAGATTCCACAAGGAAATGCCCTAATCTATGAAATCCATGTCTGCATTTCATGTTGTGCAGAAATCCCAAGAAATAGGCCACAATCCCTTGGATTTTCTTGAGTGACGAATGTTTGTCTAACAACGAATCTAAGACATTTTGGTTCGGAGTTGTATCGACAAACATAGAAATGACTTTTTTCTCGTCGACAAGTTCCTCAGATTACCGATAATAGAAACAGGCCACTGTTTCGAATCTAAAATAAGCCAATAAGGCCCGTTAAACAAGATCTAAAGGTACCGCCACTCTGGAAGCTACTTCGGCGAGATTATCTATAGACCGAACATAAAACCACCTGTCAAGAGCCAATTTTCTCTTTATAGAACTGACTGTTGCTCACAAATATCTTCAAGGTATGAGGTGATGAATTTATCCAATAAAATGCAACAGAAGATTCAGCCCATTTGTAAGTATTTTGACACTTGAGTTTTGGCGAGAAAATCTCCAAGACATAGTTGAGCAGATTGGTCAAGAAGAGGCAACTATGAAATTCTAGTCTCGCCAGAGAAATTTTCTTTAAAGGGACTACCTTTGTCCTTGCGCAAAGCAAAGAGCATTTGTATATCCCACACATGGGCAACATACGGCCCGCGTAATGAATTTATGCGGCCCGCGATTAATTTTACAATATTTACGTTTGTTGCCGTTTGTTTGTTTGTTTATTAAACTTTTCGTGCTTATTTGTAAGTAAGCCTTATTTCTACTAGGCTATAAGGCTTACTTACTTACTAGGGTTATAAATATCTTAAAATATCTCTAGTAGCCGGTTGTTTTCAGGCTTTAGTGCTCGCTACCACCCAGTGCAGTTTACATCATCGGCTCGGCGTTATTTGTAGTATATTATATATATATTAACTTTTTAATTTATTTATTAATTAATAAGGTATGTTACGTAATTTCTGTTTATAAAAAAAAATTTATATTAAGAAATATTTTCATCCCTAGGATGGCTTCTAAAAAACGAAAGGTTGATACAGAGTGTCGAAATTTTAATGATGATTGGAAATGGAAATATTTTTTTACAGTAGTTAAAGAGAAAGCTGTGTGTCTCATTTGTAACTCTAGTGTGGCAGTTTTTAAAGAATACAATTTAAAAAGACATTTTGAAACGAAACATGAGAATTATGCAAACAATTTAAATGAAGAAGACCGAAAAAAACATTTCGAAGATTTGGCCACAAAATTGTCTCGTCAACAAAATATATTTGTAAAACAAAATCGCTTGCAAGATTCGGTGACGGAAGCAAGTTTTTTAATAGCTAAACGTATTGCTGAATGCGGAAAACGTTTTTCTGAACGAGAATTTTTAAAGAAATGCATGTTGGATGTTTGTAACAGAACTTAAAAATAAATTCCTATCTAGGCAAACTATTGCCAGAAGAGTAGAAGATATAAATGTGGATGTAACTAACCAATTATTATATAATATAGAGTCAACCAATTTTTATGCAATAGCTCTGGACGAAAGTTGCGATGTAAAAGATACTGCAGAATTGTTAATTTTTATCAGAGCTTTAAATGATGATTTTAAAATCTTGGAAGAAGTTTTAGAAATTGTTCCAATGAAAGATACAACAACAACGGGCGAAGATCTGTTCCAGGATTTTGAAAAGTGTTTTTTAAAGTACCATATTGACTGGTACCATATTGAGTAGGTCGGTTAGTTTCCCCTTAGCAACACATATACGCGGATACTATTGCTTTGCGTCCAAATTTTATTTTCAGTTGCAATGAACCGAAGCAAGTTTTTACTAAAACTCCAAAAAATCACCTCCCGTGCTAAAGAAAAGGGACATACGTGATGACGATATGCAATTCAGTGATTTTGAAGATTCTGGTTCAGAATATAGACCATCATCTAGTGCTAGCGGATCTACAGAATCATTTGTATCTGTTAACAGAAAACGTTCTTGCGACCAAGTAAAGTGTTATAAAGGAAAAGTAAATAACTCCGTAAAATCACCAGATATATTAATACCAATAGACCAACAAAATAATCAGCCAATAACTAAAGAGGTATTTTATTTACTTTTTCTTCATTTCTGGGATATTCATTAATGAAATTATTTTACAGATTTCACAAAAAATACCGAACAATTATGACATTCTGCATCCACCGGACATTTTTGTATGTCAAATCGTGGTATTTTCGGCAACAAGTTTTATAATTTCGGGTACTTTTAAGCGATACTTTCAGTATAACAATAACTTAAAATAAGGTGGCATAACATTTTAATCCAGCCACTTTTTTTTTGTCGAATATCCGAAATGCATAATTAGCAACGTGCATACGGGACAATCGCAACAGCAAAAATTCGTGCAAAACATTTTTTTCTTTTTTATTCAATTTTAAATGGAGTTATACTTATAAACCTCACTGTTCCAACTCTCCTAAAAAAATCTCGGCTGCTCTCAGCAAACTCACCAAACCACACTATATTTGTTTTTGATTTTAGCAGGATGATAATCAGTGTTATGTTAAGAAATCTTCCGCCCGAGAAAGACCTACAATTTGTCCAATTTGCTTCAACGACGTGATAACGCATTTCACGAGACACCTTTTAAGATATCACGGAGACCACAAAGACGTGATGGTGATTAAAAATCTTACACCACGTAGTAAGGAGCGGTTAGGTATGATTAATGCTTTGAGAAAGCAAGGATACTTTCATCTCAAGGTCGAAAAAAATATTCTAAATCCAATAAGAAATTCGAAATTACCCGATACACAGTATTTTCTGTGTTCTTATTGCTTGGGGCATTATTCTAAAAAGTTATTACATAAATATATCAAGAAATGTAAGAATAAACCTGCTGATATCATTAACCCTGGTAAGAATTGCCTTAGTAAATCCCAAACATTTCAAGCATCAGTTTCATTAAAAAATCATGATTTCTTACGAAAGCTTCGCATTAAATCTGAAGTCATGAGAGCCGACGAAATAAGTGCTACTGCTAAAAGTGATCCCCTCATCTGTTTATTCGGAGAAACACTTTTAGCTAAACATAAGCGACAACAAATTGCTAACATTGTGTCGAACAGAATGCGAGAAATGGCTAGGATGCTTATGGTTATTAAAACTCTGGAAGAAGGGATTCGCTCCTTTTTTGACGTTCTTAAACCTGAAATGTTCCAACCCCTTATTTTTGCAGTTAAGGACATCAGTGGCTATGACGTAGTAAAGAAAGAGTTTAGAGCCCCATCATTGGCGTTACATATGGGTACGAACATAAAAATCATGTGCGATGTTGCTTACAAAATAGTATTAGAAAAAAGAATCCTTCCGAATATTAACTGGTTAAAAAATAGCGAAAAAAAGAATGAAATTAAAGATCTTAAGAAACTAGTCGAAGCCCATTGGTGTAATGAACTGGCCAGTCTTGCGTTAAAAAATATTAAAGAAAAACAATGGGGGAACCCTAAGCAATTACCTTTATCTAGTGACATTCTTGCTTTACAAACATATATCGATGCTCAAAGTGTAGATTGTTATGACAAATTAACGAATAATATTGACATAAAAACCAATTATAAAATACTAATTGAATGTGTACTAGCTCAAACCATCATATTTAATAGAAAAAGAGTAGGTGATGTTCAATTTCTAAAAGTAGAAACGTATATGAAGGATGATAACCACTTAGATCAGGAAGCATTTACCGAATCCTTAACAACCGTGGAAAAAATTATATCCAAACAATTTAAAAGAGTGGTAACAGGAGGTAAAGGATCGAGACCTGTTCCTATCCTTTTCTCAAAACGAACACAAAAATATATATCCTGCCTTTTAAAAATTAGGGATATGACCGATTTTATTCCAAAATCAAACCCATATATATTCGCAGTTCCTGGTTCTAAAGAATGGATTTCTGGAGCACATGTCATTAGACGCTTAGCTATAAAATGTGGAGCTAAACACCCTCAACTTTTCACCTCCACGCGATTTAGAAAACATATTGCTACGACTTTGCAATTAATGACAATGCAGCCGCATAAAATAGAGCAAGTAGCAACCTTTATGGGGCACACGCGAAAAACTCATGCTCAGTTTTATAGGTGAGTGATTATTGATGTCCATAAATTTTTTTATTCTCAAAGTAATTGAGATTTTATAGCAACTTAATTTTAAAAATAACTTTTTTTAACTAAAATATAATCAAATGCAAACATAATTATTTACTTTAAACCAACTTCTTTCTATTCTATGCCTAATTCTGCGTCTGCATTTTTTTTGTCACAATTAAATTAGAACAAAAAACTTTCAGTCAATGTATTGCTTTATGACAGCTGTTGACACCGTGTCGCGTGTATCAAATTCAAATATAACAACATTCTGACACCTATATATATAATCAGATAGTAATACATTCTTAATTACCGGTGTAGGGTTATAAATTTAAAATTTAACAACGGAAACGCATTTAAATCCATTTGGTCATTAAGTAATAAATTCGAATATCGCATTTTATTAATCTCCATAGCTTCCATGAAATTTAGTTTTTTACTTTTTGTTTAAATTTAAATGAATGGCATAGTTAGAATCGGAACTTTTTTATACGCTCTTTTATGTTCGTTAATTCGTTTCGTAAATGTTCTACCTATTTGTCCGATATATATATATATATATATATATATATATATATATATATATATATATATATATATATATATATATATATATATATATATATATATATATATATATATATATATATATATATTTATTTATTTTATTGTTTTGGGTTCGGCATTTAATAAGAGATAGATAGAGTTCCGAGTTATTTGAAACTGTTTTTTGTTATAATCTTATGTATCAAAGAGGGTTCATACGAAATCACGGAAAACTCTAAAATCCGGAGTCTACAAGTTGAAATGTGGATCATGTTATATCGGATAAACAGGTAGAACATTTAAGAAACGGATTAACGAACGTATGAAATTCACTTAAATCCAGTCATACACACCGGTAATTAAGAATTTATTACTAATTTATTGTATATATAGTTGTCAGAGTATCGTCATATTTTGTATTTGAAAAAGGCACGGTGTTGTCGTTACAGCTGTCTTAAGGTAATAAATAACTGTGAAAATCTCAACATTTTTTGTTCTAATTTAATCGTGTTTAGTAGATATTCATCAAGTAAAAGCCACATCAGTTCAATATATTTTTTTTTAATTTAAGGTTGCCTCAAGACATTTTTCAGACTGCTAAAGTCGCAAAAGTTCTCCTTTTGCTAGAAAAAGGGAAAGGAAAAGTGTTTAAAGGAAAATGCTTAAGTGAAATTGAAATTGAAGAAGAAGCTTCTATTTTAGAATCTAGTGACGATGACGCACCAACTAAATAACATACTCAAATAAATCAGAAACCCCAATCATCTGAACAAATATATAACGCACCAACATTTATTATGTCTTCAGAAGACATACAACAAACTAATCACGAAACCGAAAAAACTAATTGTGCAAAAGACGTTTTACACGTACCGGAAAAATCATCTCAAAATAAAGGTCGCACTAAATGGAACAGCAAAGAGAAAAAGTTAGTATTGAACTATTTTAAAAGTCATTTAGAAGAAAAAATAACTCCCAAGAAACACGAGTGCGAAGAGTATGTTGCTAAATATCGGAATAATATAACAATTACTGACTGGGTAAAGATAAAAACTTTGGTTTATAATACTTTTAGATACAAAGTGATCAACAATTGAAACAAAAATTGTCTTTCACCTTAAGATAAATAAACAATTTCTTCTTTGGCCAAAATTAGTATATCAAAAGTTAATGATGATGAGACTAATATGCAAAATGATTTATTAATGTTTTTTTTTTCAATGCCACTAAAAAATAAAAATTGATCATATTTTTTGATTTTATCTAATGACGACGAATAATTTTTGATTTCATCGAAATCATAACATCACGTCTGATGAGCCAACTCCGTTAAAGCACGCGAATTACGTAACCGGAATACAAAGGACAACCGCTTTCCAAACATTAGTGATAATGTAAACATTTTTCGTATATATAAACCTTAGAACCCTTAGATTATTATTACTTTTTAGTTCAGTGTATCGTACACGTTAGACTAGAATAGAACGCTGCTTGTTGCAACATATTTTTTGTAATACCATCGCGGTAATTGCTAAAAGTATATTAAAAGTTAAGTTCAAATCAAAAGTTACCCCTGTTTTTTTTTAAAAAACAAGATTTATTAAGTGCGAAACATAATTCGGGCGCTAAAAAAGCGCTCCTGACGAAATTAAATGTGTATCGCAATGAATATAAATTCAACCCAAAGAAATTGGCAATGTTGCCGTTTCTCCTCGCTTCGCAGAAGCGAGGACATCTATATACATCGGGCGATCCAAATATACACGTGTATATTTGGAAGCACCACCTGGTGGCGATCTCTGTGAACTACAGGTGTATATTTTGAGATGTGTAACACCATTAGGAAGCCCATGCTTTGTTTAAATAACTTTAAATATATGGCTTCTGGTTGAGCATTCAGGCAAACAGTTTTCTGCATTGTGTAGACAACACTAAATTCAATCCCATAGCCTAGTTGCTATTTTAATAGATGTCACTATATCTTGGTATTTTCAGTTATACACACGAAAATTTACGACGCCCGTTTTAGGCCACGCAAAAATTTGTCCGGCTTCGCAATAGATGCGAGATATGCGATTTTGGACTTGATAAAGTCGTTTAATATGTCTCATAATAAAAATTTGTTCATTTTTTGTTTAAATTTTTTGTATTTTTTATTATAATGTTAATTTTATAATTTGTTACATTATTTATATTTTCATAATAAAATTTTGTTCATTTTTTGATTAAAATGTTTGTATTTTTTACGCCTGACCCGCGAAAAAAAAATTTTTTTTCAATCCGGCCCGTGACAAAAAACTGTTGGCCATGCCTGGTATTCCTATCCAAAGTTAAATATGAACTATCACAAAATCCCATTTAATCATACCTCGAACTGGATGCAAAATCGACAAATCTATTAATTTCTAATCGAGATAAAGCAGTTAGTTGAGCTTTGAAATTCGACCACCAAACTAAAACATCTTGTGATCTTTCTTTATCCCAATCCAATTGGTGCTTGGGCCAATTGAATTGTATATTTTAAGGGAAAACATACATGAGCTAAAAATCCCAATGGGTCGAACATCCTTGCTAATTCCGATAGGATGAATCTTTTAGAAGGTCTGACCTTAATCTCGACATGTATGTTAATATATCTCTGACAGGATTCCATCTTAACCCTAAGATTTTGATACCTGTCTGCTCGTTACTGAAATCTAAGGCCTTCTAGAATCTACAGGAATGGATTCTAGCAAACTTCGATACATTTTCGCAATGTGAAGGATGTGATGACAGGACCTCTGCCAACTCCGATTGCAGGTGTAGGGCAGTAAAGTGGAAGCACCAATGGAGACATCATCGATATAAATGTCTAACTAAAGGACCTTACAAGCTTCGGGAAAGTTTAATTTTTCGTCCGTGACTAATTGGGCGATACAACAAAGCGCCAAGAAGGGACTACTAGGGGCGCCAAAACAAAGTGTTACTAATTTATAATCTTCCGCAGGTTGTTCCGGACAAGAACACCAAAGGATACGCTGAAAATCTTGGTTCTTGGGAACTAAAGCGATTTGAAGGTACATTTGTCTAATGTCAGAGGAAAAAGGATATTTGTAATGCTAAAAGTTGATAGGAGTACTGCGTATATCTTCCTGCAGCTTTTTCCCAGAGTACAAAGTATCATCCAAACAGATACCACCAACATTGCGCATTGCACAAACGACGCGCAAACTCGTACTGTCCGTTTTGAACACTGAATGTTGCGGCAGGTAGTAACCTTTGGAGGGCTGCTTCTCGGAAGATTTATAAATTTCCTCCATAAACCCAGAGTCCAAATAATATTTCCTGAATGCCAGGTGTGAACGATGCAGCGATGGATTTTTTGCAAATCTCCTCTCTACTGAATACAATCTACGAAGTGCTATCTCTCTCGAATCCCCAAATGTAGGTTTCGGTCCGTTAAAGGGAAGAGCGACTGTAAATCGACCAGACTGGTCCCGAGAATAGTTTTCCAAGACGTGCTTCTCACAAGCTAGATCTTCGAGAATCAAAAGGCACTTGCGGAACATCTTCTAACTCCCAGAGTCTCTTCAAATCGTCTTTATAGTCGATCTTCTACCTACTTTATAGTCTATCTTCTACCTCTACTAAATCAGTAGAACCGATATTTTTCGAAACGAGGCTCACCGACAGAACCAACCTTTGGAGGTGAATTGCTGTGCGAGCTGACATAATTCGGATTACCTGGAAGTTGGCCTTAAATTTCGACCGACAGTCCCATAGCAAATGGGATAAACTCAAACACAAAAGCCATAAGTATCGTTGTTTTGCCAAACGATACTTTTCGAGGGGTGATTTTGTAATAAATGATGACATTCTAGCAAAGAGTGGTTTGTCGAGCAAAACGGAGAGGCGCTCGGATCGCTTGATTTTAAGAAACATGTAAAGTTGGATTTCGAGAGAAAAAATGTTTATTTATTTATACGTTAGATGAGCTAGCGTTGGAAATCGTTTCCAGAGTGGTACATTGATTCTCCAGAAATGATTTTAAATTCGAATATTTTGGTATCTCTTTCGAAGCATTTTCCAATTCAAACCTCTTGGATTATTATCGAATCTAATTTTTTTTTGAACGATCTGAATATTTCGAAATGACCATTCTTCTGTGAAGTGAAGCAATAAATGAGGAAGGCTTTGTTTATCAAACGCCTGGATCTGCGGAAGATAAAAATTTGGAAGTAGTTATTAAAAATACTGAAGATGACTACAATGAGGTCGACCCTGAAATAATGAGCGACTATTACTTCGACACAAAGTTTCACGGAGGAAACTACAAAAGTCATGAACCCACCCGTAGCTATCGCGGGAAATTACATTCAATTCAACAAAACCAAAAAATTCACATTCTGCCGTACGTGTGGGTCCACTTTGCCGAGATTCTCCATAAAAACCACTTCGGACATCATAAACACCACATTGACTTCAAAATGGATTAGAAACTGTGCAAATCTGTTGCGATTAACATTGACGACAACATGAGAATTTTAAAAAAGCATCATCATCATTTGGCTTTCATCAAAATTACCATTTTTATTATCTACGGTATGGTACCCACAAAAAATTTCAGGGCACTTTCGATTTCTGCTGGTGCAACAATTGAGCAGGACTTCACTGATCAAACCCCCAGTTCGGAGGAATGCTACAGTTCGGAAGTGATTATAATTATAATAAGTGATAGAAAATAACTACAGCGATGTCGAGCCTGAAAACATAAGTGACGGTTCCTTTTTTACCGATTTCGATGAAGGTATTGTCCTGCGTATCGAAAATTACTATACAGATGAACCAAAATCTTCGACTTAAAGTTTCACGGAGGAAACTACAACTTAGTTTCAAATGCCTTATAATTTAATCGACTTGAACATTTTTTTTCGATCACTATTTTGTTGTTAACTATTAAAAATTAACTATTAAAAAATTGAGCAATAACATCGTCTTTCTCCTGCTAAATAGCTTTTTAAGGATTATTTAATTATATTTAAAATTCATCAGGACAAAATTTACAACACGTTCAATAAAGTAACTTTTTAACTAAATATACAACTGGTTTTAACAAAAATTATTTATTATGTTGATCATTATTAGTCTTCTGCATAAATATATTTTATGGCAATAGGAACGTGTATTAAATTTGCAATAAATATTTTTTTCAGATTTATATTATCGAATGTAAAAATGCCAGATTTTCGGGAAGATCTTTTATATACGGTTTTGTTTTGGTTTTAGGTCGGCAACACATTATACGTGAATTTATATGTTCTAAGTTAAATTGAGTGCAAAATCACCAGAAATAACTTCACTTCATGATACCTCCTTTCCGTCGATCCAACAACAAAGCAATGATGTAGCTGAAAGTACAGATCTTTCGGACAGCGATACCACGTTGGAAAATCTGTCAAGATATTTTAGAACAAACTAAGCAAGCGATACAGGATTATGTTGACCCTCCCGCCTGCAAGCAATGGTTGAATGAATTTGATAAATTACCGCAAATTGATGACAGCGTAAAAGACACCCAACATACATTTGACCATTATTATGGTATCGTTCATGGCACAAAAAACGATAATTTTTTTCTGGGCTTAACCCGAAAGGCTGTGGAAATTGTCGGCAAAGATGTAAGTGTACTAGTAATTACATACCCCGGGACTGTAGGCCGGATCTTTCGGACAGCAATACCACGTTGGGAAATCTATCAGATATTTTAGAACAAACTGAGCAAGCGATACAATCAACAACGTTGTTTAATTTAAATCGACGGGCATTCGACAAAGCAATGTGCAGTGAGAAAGCGCAACTCGTCCGAGAGCTGCACAAGCCGGCACGCAGAAATTATGCGATTATACGACTGTTGGGTAATTTGTGGCAAGCGAATTTGGCTCAGCTGGACTCGCTGATACGCGAAACAAAATAAACTTTCAATTCATATACTAGTAATGATCGATTGCTTTACAAAATACGTGTGGTGTTGACCGCTAAAAACCAAAACCGGCGTTGAAGTTACTAAAGCGTTTACCCAAATTCTC